GGTGGACGTGGGGTGCCTCAAAGGGGCGGCCAGGCACTTGTTCCTGCTGCTGCGCCACTGGGACGAGAACATCAAGCTGAACATGCTGTGCTACAACCCCAACAACGTCTGACGGCCGCCGGAGGGGACAATAAAGATGCCTGGCTGGACACTGCCCATGCACGTGTTTCTGTCACACGCAGGGAGCTGTCAGGGCCCCACCAGAGCCCTGGAAGGGTCACCCCCTTCCCAGCCATCTCCCGTGGGAGGGAGCAGACAGGAAAAGCTGTGCTGGAGGGATCCCTGGGCTGCGTCAAGGCAATGCAAACCTTGAGGCAAAGCAGATCCTCTGTCTTAACCTCATCCCAGAGGTTGCTCCCCTGCCCCGGGCAGTGCTCTCCCAGGGCTGGGAAGGGAGCTCCCACAGCTCCAGCGGCTGCTCTGCCTCCCCGTCATGGCACAAGGATGCTGTGGCTGGGGAAGGGCACTCAAAGCCCCTTTATTGGGGAAGTCCTGCCCGCTGGAGGTCCCCATGCCACCCCCTGCACAGTTCTAGGGCTCGCAGCCCTCCTGGGATGGCCGGGGGCAGCCTGGGAGCCGGGTGGGGATAGAGTGGGCAGTAGGGGCAGTCCCAGAGGCCCATTCCCATCGTCCAGTCAGCTGCACTCTCACTGGGCCTTCTTGGAGATGGCTGCAGGCCTCCTGCTCGGCGGGGGGGTGTGCGGTGCTGGCGAGGGGGCCGTGCCGTACCAGAGCTGGAGCAGGACGAGTCCGTGGCAGATGTGGAGGGACAGGGAGCTGCAGACCGTGGAGGGGTAGGTGTTCCAGCAGAGCTCAATCACGCCCAGCAGCAGCACCCTGCATGAAGGGGAAAGCGGGAGGTCAGCACGGGGTGGGTACACAGCAACTCCCCTTGCTCACAGACCCCCCCCAGCAGATGGCTGCCCTCCCTGGCAGCACGTACTTGGGCATGTGGGCGAGCTTGGCGGTAGGGGTGCACCAGAGTAAGTAGGGCAGCGTGTGGAAGTACCAGACGTAGAACTGGTAGTGCAGGGAGCGGCTGCAGCAGATGCCCAGGAAGTTGGAGGAGAAGAGGACGAAGACGATCTGTGTGCTGGTGTTAAAGGGACAAATAGGAGGCTGGAGGTGAGATCCTGCAGCAAATCCTCACCTCTACAGCACAGCTCCTTCCCCCGGGACAGGAACCCTCAAATGCCAAGCTCAAGGTCTGTCCTGCCCTGTCCTCTCCCCACCACCCTGATGCCCGCCACACCAAAGGATATTGTTGACGGTCAAGGGAGGGAACGGTGGTTTCCTTTCAGCAGGATCCTTCAGCAGAGCCAGGATGCTCTCTTTGGACCTGAGGGGGAAGCACAAACATTGATCTCAGCTGCTGGAAGTCTCTCCCATCCCTGACGTTCCCTTGTGAGCCACCACACCTGCCCAAAATCAAACCGCAACTCCCCCGACTGCTGCCTGCAACCCCAGCAATATGGGGCCAGGGGTTTTGTGGACCCGTATTCAGCACCATGGGGAATCCTGGGTCTCACCTGTGCCACCGGTGCAGTGCAAAGAGCCCCAGACCAGCCAAGTGAGCCAGGAGCAGCGCAGTGTGGAAAGCCCGATTCTGGAAAACCTCTTCTGGGAGGAAGCGCCAGTTCACCGTCCATTTGAACTGGAACTGGCGGCCCAGGTCGAAGGAGCGGGTCAGGTAACCCACGGGGTTCACCAGGAGGAAGGGCAGCCCCAGAATCACCTGCCAGAAACACACCAGCACCCTTGCAGCAGCCGTAAGCCATGTCCCCATCACCCCCACCACCTCCCAAGAACCTCAGCACCAGCCCACGTGAGCAGGGACCCACCTGGAGCAGGGCACAGATGCAGAGCTTGGGGATACAGCCCAGGAGACCGAACCGCTGGAGGAGGAGGAAGAGAAGTCCAGGTGCAAAGAGCAGGATGTTCATCTTCACAGACACAGCCAGGCTGAGCGGGAAGCTGCGTTACTGCTGTGGCCCCCTATGCGGGTGCCCAGGCAGTCCCTGGGCTGAGCACAGCCTCCTCCCTCGGGCCGAGCTCGCTCACGCAGGCAGCACAGCCATGGAGAGCAGCCACAAATGCTCACCTGAAGAGGAGGCAGCCCCAGGACCAGCGCTCCTCCAGGAAGAGGTTGATGGCAAGGAAGAGGATGGCCATGGCAACGGGGTCATTGAAGAGCCGCAGGACAAAGATGGAGTGGATGCGGTAGGAGGCACAGCACATGAAGAAGAAAACGTATGGGGGTACCTTGCAGGGACGGAGAGACACGAGGGCGGTCAGCAGCCTGTCCTGGGCCCCTGCTGCCACCAAGGCCCTCCAAACCTCAGCCCCTCAACCTTCATCTCCTGCCCATTTCACCCAGGTGAGAAGCAGCTCCGAGGTGGCTCAAAGATGGAGTGGATGCGGTAGGAGGCACAGCACATGAAGAAGAAAACGTATGGGGGTACCTTGCAGGGACGGAGAGACACGAGGGCGGTCAGCAGCCTGTCCTGGGCCCCTGCTGCCACCAAGGCCCTCCAAACCTCAGCCCCTCAACCTTCATCTCCTGCCCATTTCACCCAGGTGAGAAGCAGCTCCGAGGTGGCTGGCAAGGCCCCCTGGCTCCACGCTACCTTGTTGGTCCGGCAGTAGATGCGGAAGACAAGGAGGAGGTTGAGGAGGT